ATGTTATTTAAATGTTCAATCCTGCCAATTTTATTATTTGGGACTTACATTTGCATAATACCCGATTATGCAAATAACTCACAGAGAAATGAGGGTTTACGTCGTACCACACAACAACCTCGGAACCTAAAGCGAGTTAGGACTTATGCTGCACAACCTGGTTGTGCAGGGGCCTAAAAGAGGGTGAGGATTTACGTCGCTCTAGGCGAGCTACCTCAAAGTCCTATGAGTTATTATTATACTAGGAAGAGATAATGCTGAAAAAGATCCTCTTGCTGCTCGATCTGAATCCCTCGCCGCGCTGCCCACGAATTCAGCTCTGAAACTCTTATCGTCGCGATTGCTCCAGGGTTTAAGCGTTTGAGATTGGTGATTTGTGCTTCACAGTTTTGGTTTCAATGGGGGGTTCAAGTTGATTAGAGCGACACCGGTTAGGATCCCACGGTTCCCTCCTTCCGGCATCACTATTTTCTTTTGAACTTACTTAGTTTAAACGAGTTGTGAAACCCATTTAAACCGGGGAGATCTCGTTAGCAACCGTGGGTTACCTCCTCCGAGGGACTCCCGTAAGTTCGAAAGAACGTGTTATATTTTGTTTCGTTTTTAATTTTGAAAAAAGTTGTTTAATTAAAAAAAAAAATATTTTGTTTTGAAAGTGATATCGTATTCAGTACCTGCATAATGTGTTAGAGCAAGAGTAATTGCAATAAAATAAAGGAACAACAAAAAATAAAATGTACCTGCATACGTGACGTATCTGCTGCTGTTATTCCTGTTGCATGTTTAACTCACAAAGCACAATATAATTTGCAGGGATTTAAATAAACTTGCAAGTAAACTAAACAAGAAAAGAAAACTCAGCACGAAAGTCAGAAAAGCGAGTCGTATAAATCAAAACAAACGGAACACTTAGCCACATATGAAAGATCAGGACTGAGTATAAGAAGTTGGTGAAAGTGGGGGCTCAGAGCTAGGCTGTGTGCTTCCCGACCTTGAACAGGAGTTACCGGCCCAACAATCTACAGAAGGCAGTTCTTAACCTCAATCCAAGTGACTAGACGTAGACCTTTATAAATTTTCAGAGAAAGATTTTCATGCAAAATTATTATTCAAGTCTTTTTTTTTTTATGCAGAGTTATTTTTATCATGCAAAAGAGATTTTTATTTTTTTTATTTTTTTTGTAAATATTTTTGTAAAGTCGTGCAGTCCACAGACTAGTCACT